AGACACAAGATCACGTAAGAACAAGAGAGGGAAAAAAGTCGATTTTTTTAGCGGGTTCTACGCCATCTTGTTTCACTGGAAAACGAGCGAAAAGTAAACAAAGCAACGAAAACAACGAAAACCAAAATTAGCCAAAATTATTGTCAGCCACTTTAAACGCACAATTTAGGTAAAATGATGCAACAAAATGCTTTAAAATGTGTTGTCATGTTGAATTAACTCTTCTTTACTTGAAGTGTAAAATGGTGGTGCCTGTGATGTAAACAAACGCTCAGCTGACGAACCCGCTTTCACAAACTTTTTTCTCAAAACCAGTTTCAAATACAACGTCGCGTTCTTACGTGATCTTGTATGTTTGGTTCATGGTGTAATACTATTTTTGTGACTTGAGATTATTTGGCTATTCAGTAGGAGAGTCACAAAAAGTTCACCAAAAATGTGTGGTGAAAACAACACGGACAGTCGAGGATTTTTAATTTTTTTTTTTAGTATTTTTTTTTTCTTTTTTTTTATTAGTTTTATTTTTTTAATAATCTTTAGATTTTAATGTTAAAAAAAAATATATTTTTTTCAATGGATTTGTATATTAAAGCTTTTTGGTATATTTTCTAACGAAATTCTTATTGGAAAAATTTCCTCGCTTGATATTCGCGTTTTTTTTAATGAAATGGAAAACAATTAACCTTTTCTCCATACATATTTTTATTTTTGAGACCTTTTCTTAGCCAGCGGACAAATTAGTGACTTTTTTTGAGACTAGAGACGTGAGACAGCGTACTGAATACCAAATAGTCTCAAAATCCAAGTTCACCACCACTATTAGTGACTAGAGACCGCGTACTGAATGCGTCTATGTTAAAAATTTATAAAATGTTAATTTTTGTAATTGTCTATATGGTGTATGGCGAATCGTGTTGTTTGTGCATCGCGGTGAAGGTACTCGCCTTGCGCAGCGATGCTACAAGCCTTTAGGCCGGTCCACATAGAACTTTCGCGTTGGCTTTGGCGTTGGCGTTGGTTTGACAGAACGCACGTTAAAAGTATGCTTGCTACAATGAACGCTTGGCAGCGAATCCTTGGATCACTAAATTAACATATTAACGACAGATAAATTAATATTTCATATCAATAATTGCATTAAAAACGATATTTCTTGCCCGCACTTGATCAAAAAGGAAAAATATTTCACATAATTTTATTTATTTGCAACAGCTGACGAGCGACGCACGCGAAAAGTTGAGAGTTGGCCATCTTTTTGCTTTGTGTTGGCGTGAGCGTTGTCGAATTTTGGCTATGTGGACGGCTGCATTTGAATTCATGTATTCATAGTCAGCTGTTGAAGCGACGCCAACGCCAATGCAACGCCAAAGTTCTATGTGGACGGGCCTTTTTTTCTTTTGCTTCAACTTGTCAGATCTTGTGTAGTTGGATCATGCTTCGATGTTTGGGAAAATATCGATGTAAATTTCAGCTTTAAGCGAAGCGCACATTAGCGCGATTCCATCGTTGCGAATACGTTGCGAATTCGGCTGTTAACTTCGAATCCGCAAACGTGCGCACACTTGCGCGATTTTTTCGCGTCGATTTCCGATGTACAATTCACTCAATTTTCCCTTTATTTCGTATATTTTCGCACTCGGCGTGCCCAAATCGTACAAAATACTATTATCACGAACGTTTTTATTAGTTTTTGTACATTACACGTTTTTTTTTTCTTTGCCTTTATTGCTGTGACACCTTTCTTCTTCTTCTTTGACGCCTTCAAAACGCTGCAAGCCGCGTTTCGAACGCGTCAATAGAGAAGAAACTTGAATGTTCGAAAAATTCGCAGCGACGGTCGTGCAAGTGTGCGCTAGCGCATTAAAATGTATGGGTAGCATTGTTGTAATTTTTGAGCTTGCGGATTCGCAACGACAGAATCGCGCCAATGTGCGCTTCGCTTTAAGCTGAAGCTCCATAGGCAGGTTTTCAGGCGTCGCGGTTTGAGGCGCTTAAGCCTGAAAGATGATTTAGTGAAATTGTATAGAAGCTGACCCACAACTGAAGTTCGAAAAGCTTGAAAGGTGCCCCAAATTTCGAACTTATTTCAGGCTTTTCAAGCCTTGTCTGACAATTAACACATTTGAACATTAGTGCTGATAAATATGATTATGGCAATGTTGTAATCGATATCACGAGAGAATTTTCCTTAAATTCGGTCCAAAATTGAAAAAGTAAAAATGAGGGCATGTAGAGATGTTTCCGATTCTAAAAGTGATATACTGTTTTCCATAAAAAAAGAAGCAGGCGGAGTATTGATTTTAATAAAAATTATCGATTGTTATAAAAAGCGCCGCAGGCGAAAAATTTTAATAAAAAATCGCGCAACTTTTTATAAAAAAATTTTCATTATTTATCGAAGTATTGTTTTTTTTAAGCGCCGCGGGCAAAGATCTTTAATCTGAAATCGCGCGAAAGATAAAACTTTTTATATAGAAGCCCCCGAGCTCTAGGGGTTTTCACTTTTAGAATCGAGAAAGTTCCTCTACACGCCCTCATTTTTATTTTATTTTATTTTTTCAAATTTAGACCGGATTTTAGAAAAATTTTCCCTTATTCGATATTAGAAACATCATGATTTCAAAATACCGCTTAAAGATCTACGAAAAACCTGTGGGAACCGGTTTGGAAAAACCGAACCAATCACCCTACAAAGAACAGACTGATTTCTCTGCATCGCATGCGATGCAACCCTGTTAATAAAATGCAACCCTCGCAGTAGTTACGGTTCAGTGGATCGATTTTCTTCGCGAAAAGAAAATTTTGCCGCTACCTTTTTGTGATGGCAATTTTCAGAAAACGTTTAAAGAAAATCTAGTTTTATGTGCTTTTTGCTTAAAATTTTGTGGAAAATACAATTGAAAAGTGAAAGTAATCCCCAATACTTACAAAACTTCGGGCAACCGTGCAGTTAGCTGTACCACGGTGCCCATGTGAAAAGGTCATTGTTTGTATCTGTACAATTTTGCTGAAGCATGGCTGGTGGAAATCAGGCCCGTGTCATCCAGGTGACCAATATCGCACCTCAGGCGACTAAAGATCAAATGCAAACCTTATTTGGCAACATTGGAAAAATTGAAGAGATTCGTTTGTATCCAACGGTGCGTGATGTCTCATGTCCGGTGCAGTCGCGTATATGCTATGTCAAGTATGCGGAAAGCAGCTGTGTGCCGGTGGCCCAACATCTCACCAATACTGTTTTCATTGATCGAGCGCTTATTGTAATACCTGTTCTGGCAATTCCAGAAGAATATCGTGCATTAGAGATGTCTAAAAATGGCACTATTGTGCCAGGATTGCAGAAGCCCGATTCCAAGTTGCCACCTGAAGTGCTTAACCGCATTGAAGGGCAATCACCACAACAGGTTTGTGCAAAAATTTCAATGCATGCACATATATTCGATGGAAGTTGTTAATTTTCTATTTCATTTCAGGTTATCAAAACTTACGATCCGAAACTGGTGGACAACAATTTGCCAGAGTATCCGGCCTTACCGTCATTCTATGATGCCCGTAAAATTGAGGAAATTCGCAGAACCATTATTGTCTGTGACGTTAAGAATGAATGGCGCCTAGACGACTTGATGGAATGTTTTCAACGCGCCGGTGAAGTAAAATATGCTCGCTGGGCAGAGAAGGATAACAAGACGTATTGCATGATCGAATTTTGCGATCAGCCCAGCATTATACATGCTCTTAAACTGCAAGGACAAGAGTTCAAAGGCGGATATCTCAATGTTTACCATTCAACTGATTCAATTACCAAACCGGAGGCGAAATCAAACGAGGCAGCTCAGGCAGAAATTGAAGAGGCAATGACCATAGTAAAAGAAGCTCAAAATATGATATCTGCCGCCATTGATCCTGTCATTGGTATGCTAGCTAAGGATAAACGTCGACGCTCTCGCTCACGTTCGAGGTCTCGTGAACGCCGCACTAGTCGTTCACGTTCGCATCGTTCACGTTCTAGGCGTCGATCTCGATCACGCACTCGTAAACGTTCCCGTAGTAAGTCTAAGCGGCGCTCTCGCTCTCATTCCCGGACTTCGCGCTCACGCAAGCGTTCGCGTTCTAGGAAACGTTCTCGCTCTCGTCGTAAGAGTCGGTCCCGTTCCCGTTCTAAACGGCGATCGCGCTCCCGGGATCGTCGTGCGAAACGTTCACGCTCGCGCCACCGTCGCAGTACATCAAGATCCCGTCGGTCACGTTCGCGCACCAAACGCTCTAGATCACGTGAACGTAAACGTTCGCACCGAGCTCGTGATGAAAAGCGTTCGCGTTCTTCACGCTCACGTAGTAAGCGTCGTTCTCCATCTCTATCTACGAGATCGCGTACAAGTCGCAGCAAAGACATTGTCCCGCTTGTAAAGTCATCTTCATCTTCTAAACGGCGTTCTCGAACACCTGATCGAAAGTTGAAGCCCATTGTAGAAGACATCGAAGTTAAGAGTACCCGATCTAGTGTCGATTCCAAGTCAAGGAAATCGGTTAGTGTTGAAAAATCCGATAATATGGATATTTCCAATTCACCATAAATTTGCTTCTTTAATGGTTACACATTTCAATCTTAAGGGCAAGATAACGTTACATTTTGTGAGAACCATATTTTTTTTTTTGAATTATAATACTTTTACAGTTAAGGTATGATTATTGTAAATCATAAAAGATTAGAGTGGCTTGTAATTTGGGCTTTATCCGTAATAACCATTTCTTTTTTCTCAGACAAAGCTATTACAATAAAGGCATCTCGATAACACTAACTGACGTTGGCTTCTAAGATTTTTAAAACCCAGGACAGAAAACCCAGTATAACATCCAATAAAAGTATATATATGTAGGTATGGATAGATGGTCTCAAGGTAGGATGCAAATTATTACAATGAACAACAGAGGATACGTAAGAAATAGTATTTCTGAAATAACACGCATTTAATATTATTAAAAACAAAAATCCACTTTTGGTCAAAGAAAAAAATATTTTATTAAGTTGAAAATTAGTTCTGTTCGCTATGCAAAAAACTTGTACATGTTGGCACCAATTGCTACACAATCGTGTTCGTTTGGTCGAAAAACGAGTAAAACCTTGCAAGGAGAGAGCACAATTTGCAAGCAGGATTGTGCCAACAATAATTTGAATCAACAAATTCGTTAAATTTAAATTGTACAACCTTACCGCGATTTGCAAATGAAAGAAGAATGTAAATATTTGTTTATTCAATTAATTTAATTAATGATTCGAAAGGTACTCTGATGAAAAACCTGTATTCGTAATCGGAACGCAGTCGACACCGCAGTCGATACAGGAAATCCGAAAGTGACTACCACAAAGAAATTCAAGCGTAAGAAAGTCAGAATAAGAAGAAATATACGTAAATATATATCATGATTCAATAGTTAATTAATTATTAATTATTGAATCATGTACATATATACTGTTTTGTTTTCCACTTGAAATAATTGAAAAAATTATTATGTTCCAAATGCAATTGGGGACGCCAGCTGGCACTGAAGCTTGCAGATGTCTCTCTTTGGGAGAGTAAGTTACCTTATTCTCTGAATTTCGTTACTGGCTAATTCTTGCTGGATTTTCCAAACGGACACAACTATTATTAATCGCTTTCACGTCACTTGACAGATGAGAGTCTCTATCGAAGCATTTATTTATGTATGTGTATGACAATCAATGAAAGTCCACGAGATAAATTTTTTCCTTTAACCTACATACACTATAGGGCTGTTCAGGATCTTGTGCATATGCTCTTGCATTTGCATATTCGTTGCATTTGCAAATTCACAACAATAAAATGCACACGGTTGCCATGGCAGTAAGCATAAAAATTGCAAATGCAAATCCAAGACCATCTCCACAACGTCCTAAACAGCCCTTATATATATTTATGTTCTCGAGTTGGTTATTATACATATTTAAAAACGTTGCTGAAAACTTTGTTGTTGATTAAACATCATTTGTTGCTGCTGTTGTTGTTGATGATGAAAGTCTTGTGTTTGTTGCACTTGCTGCTGCTGCGGTCCTGTACCAGGTGGTCCAGATAAACGCACTCGTTTAGCGCTTGGCTCCTGCTGTTGTTGTTGCTGCTGCTGTTGCTGTTGTTGTTGACGTTTAGTTTCCGCCTTATCTTCTTGATCGTCATCAGTTAAAAATTCCCTCTTTGGATATGGAATAGGCATGCCAGCGAATACATCTTGAGTTGGCAATGGATCCTCTTGAAAGTAGGGATCTTGCATAGCTTGTTCTGAAGTTATGCGCTTATTGGGATCCATAAGTAATAGTTTTTGCAAAAGATGGAATGCTTTACTGTCTGGCTTTATTTTATGACGTTCCATATATTTGGCAAGTGAGCACGTTGAATAAGTGGAGCGCTTAAAATCTTTCGTTAATGTATGATGCTCCGGCATTTTCTTAATATCCTCCCAGTCTTTGTCTTGAGGAAATCCCATTACGTTGAAAATTCGATCCAGTTGATCGTGGTGATAAGGATTACTAGTTTTTATATCCTCTTGTCTGCAATGGAATATTGGTTCCGATGTTAGTAATTCGGCGAAAATGCAACCTATTGCCCAAATATCAATAGCTTTTGTGTAATGGCGAGCACCCAGAAGCAATTCAGGTGCCCGATACCAGAACGTTACAACCACTGGATCTAGATCAGCTAATGGTTTTAGTGGAGCATTAAATAGACGTGCAAAACCCATATCTGCAATTTTTACGCGGCCCCGTTCATTACCATCGCCCATTACCAGAATGTTAGCTGGTTTTAAATCGCGATGAAGAACCCAGTTACTGTGTAGATAATGTATGCCATCTAGAATTTGATATAGTAAACTCTTAACCATACCTCTAGGCACAATAACTTGCTTCTTGGCAGCTTTAGCAGCTCTATGAAATTTTATGATGTGCCACAGATCATGTTCGGCATAGTCGATTAGGAGAAATACTTTGCGGTCGTTGTGGGACAAAAATACGCGAATGAGAGTAATTACATTTTGATGTTTTAACTCACGAAGCAGCGCTATTTCTCGACACGCTGACATGGACAAACCAGTACCATCAATCTGCTTCAGTGCATATTCTTTACCATCAGTGCGCTCCTTCCATTTCGCCTTGTAAACATGGCCGTACGTGCCACGCCCAACCTTGCAGCCTTCATAATTGAAGAGATCTTCTACTTTTGTTCGTTCCATTTGTGTTTTCATTTTGAAGTCGTAGTCCATGATGGGATAATTTATAAATAATCAATTACTTTCCTAATTAATAAATTACCGAAGCACTAATTTATATTTTTTTGTCAACCTACAGTAGCGTTTCGCGTCTATCAGCTGTTTCGCACCTGTCATGTAACTATTCCCGAGAATAGTTATTGCAACCCTACTCCCGGCATCCGGCATTGCAGTAGGGATAGATAACTATCGATGGTACCGATGGTTTCATGGTATCGATAGTTGTATGTTGTTCACATTGTTGGAATTTGACTATAATAGATGAACATGTCTACATATCTATGAATGATTGCGAAAATATTCTTCGTGGTTTTTGTTATAAAATGTGTTATTGAAACACACGATCTCAGTTTGTTTTATACAAGTCATTTTTGTGTATACAAATAATCTTTATGGTTTTTGTAGTTACGAAATGGGTTATTTAAAAATAAGATTTCTTCCTGGCTGTTGTTATCTTATATAGTAAAGCCCAAAATACAATAACGCAGTGGCAGTGGCAGTTTTTCGAACTCAGCTGTTTTTTAGAAAGTGAGGTGTTCAATGAAGCGACACACAATAAAGCAGTGGTAGCTGCCAGTACTGCTCAGTTTAGCCCAAATTCTAAATTCACTGCCACTGCCGTCATCGCAGCAACCTTCGCATGCTGTTCATGTCACTGAAGCCTAAAAGACAACAACAAAAATGTAAACAAACAAAAGGGAATGTCAAAAAAAGCAGTCACTGACAACGCCTTATTGTGTTTGCTGCGGCAGTGACTGCCAATATTAGCAGTAACAGCTGATTTTAAAAATAGCCACTGTCACTGCCACTGCGCTATTGTATTTTGGCCTTAAAAGAATAAACGAAGAAATTTACAGGCGATGGGATCTGTCACATCACTTGCCAAATTTTTCTTGCATCATAAAAAATGGAATAAAATTTGCCTATTTGCAAAATGTTATGCCGAATTTCACCAATCAATTTGAAATTTGTCAGGCCGTTATAATTTAATAGCCTTAAGCGAAGCGCACATTAGCGCGATTCCATCGTTGCGAATACGTTGCGAATTCGGCTGTTAACTTCGAATCCGCAAACGTGCGCACACTTGAGCGATTTTTTCGCGTCGAATTCCGATGTACAATTCACTCAATTTTCCCTTTATTTCGTGTATTTTCGCACTCGGCGTGCCCAAATCGTACAAAATACTATTATTACGAACGTTTTTATTAGTTTTTGTACATTACACGTTTTTTTTCTTTGCCTTTATTGCTGTGACACCTTTCTTCTTCTTCTTTGACGCCTTCAAAACGCTGCAAGCCGCGTTTCGAACGCGTCAATAGAGAGGAACATTGAATGATCGAAAAATTCGCAGCGACGGAATCGTGCAAGTGTGCGCTAGCGCATTAAAATGTATGGGTAGCATTGTTGTAATTTTTGGGCTTGCGGATTCGCAACGACAGAATCGCGCCAATGTGCGCTTCGCTTTATTCATAAAAAATCTTCGATATATTTCCGATAAATATTAGAGAAGACACCGATTCGTTCGTCATTCGCTCTCAAAATTTTGTATGGCGAATTACGTAATTCGGAAGGTAATTGGTAAGGCGAATGACGAATGGGAGCGTGAATTACGAATAGGAGAGCGAATAACGAATCATGGAAATGCCGTATTACCCGGTCCTTTCGATTTATAATAGCTTGTCAGACGTGACAATGTTTCCAACTTTTCCCAGCCGTACGGTTATAAAGTTTTTCGGGAAGATGGGTTTTAGTAAAAGCTCCTCGGGAATGCAAAAAGCCAATTTCGAAAAGTCAGTTAGTAAGGCCTTTCTACATTTCATCAACAATATGTACATACCTTTATTAATTGGAATTTACGAATATGTTAAAGGAACTTACTTGGGCATGATTCCATCAAAGTACTGATTTGTCAAACGCTCGCTCAAAATTTTAAAGCGCTCACAAAAAGTAATGGTGATAAATTAAAACAAACCTCTTCGATGTTTTGACTAAACATCGGGTTCTCTAAAATATCGACAAACATCGATGTTTGAAGCCACGACCATCGATGTTGCTCGATACCACGATGTTTTTTTACATACCTAGAGTTGACCTTTCCATTCCTACACTACGCTTGTAAGGCGAAATAAACAAATTGATCGTGGGCAGTAAAAATTGCAAAAATGGGAAAAGTTAACAAAAACATTCGCGCAAAGGCCAAAGCAGCAGCTGCTAAAGCGGCCGGCGCTACCAATAACATCAAATCAAAAATTTCAGCAGTAGCCAAGTCAGATGAATCGAGTATGACTGAGGAGAAGCTCCTCTTGCCGAAAACGCCAACGGTCAAGAAAAAAGCTATTACCAAACGTGACAAGGTGCGACAGAAGCACAAACAACTTATGAATAAGTTTGCATTACTAAAAAAGAAACGGAA